ACAGAAGTATTAAATAACACTGAATGGGAATTAAGAAAATGTACATGAAATCTTATGCTCTGGCTAAGACAATCCGTGCCTCCATTTTCCTGTGTGTATAAAAACTATGTGTTCTATATACTTCTACATAATTTCCAGAGCTTGAGTGCTCACCTCACATTAATTTTTTTCAATTTGTGTATTACTTACCTCTCCACTGAGTGGGGAGGTAAAGGAGGCTGGTGATCAAATTTCTTCAACTTCATTACGTTGCTACCTTGCAACACAATAATCCCTACTCTAAGCTAGCCTCAAATATCCTGTTTCTCATAAATAGGCTTACATAAGGGAGGTGTGCTATAGACATGCTTTATGCTAAAATAAAAAGAACACATAATAGATAGATGGGAATTTAAACTTTTATTAATAAATCATGATTTTCTATTGAATACATAACAAAGTACAATTAACAATAACATAACATTCCAACATTAAAAATTAAAACTTTCAGAATCACCTTGATCAATATATAAAGCTTTAGTTCCTGGAAAAATAATATTTCAACAGTGTTCTTCTCGTTTGCAAAACAGCTTCCCAAAATAGGAGATTCGTGAAGAAAATTTTATAAAGCTTCCTGTGTACAAAAAAGATTGACTCCACATCAACTGTCCCCTGCTGAAAATCCAAACCATAAAGGCTTGAAGGACCAGAATGGAGCCACATTCTATTAAAGTTATCAAAGATAAAATCTTAAAGATCTACAAATGGAAGGAACATGGAACTATCTTCTACCACCAATTCAATATACAGGGCAAATGTGGTACATCTTGGCCTCAAGACAACATAAGATAGAATGATTCTTGAATATGTCGCAACAGATATAGCAATTTTATCCCTATTACAGAGACACATGTATACCAATTGATAACTTTTCCTTGCAGTAAGAAACTCAGAAATCATCTAGGAAATATCTATTTTCCTATGTTACAGTTGAAATGAAAATGACAATGTATTTTGTAAAATGATGCAATGTGGTACCGTCTTGATGAGACATGAAAACACAACTCACTGGCTAGAAATAGTTGTAAAACAAGCCTACTTTCACTGATATATACTTATTTTAAAAGTTATACTTACTGCTTAGTTTTCTGAAGAAAGAAGAATGGTCCTCTATTCAAAGTAGTGATAAAAATAATTGCACCTCAAATTACTCCCAGTGTAACATAAGATATTTAATATTAACATAAATATCATTTGCATAGATGATAGAAAAATTCTAATTTCTTAAAAGTGCTATGCCTTCCTGGAATTTGAAAACAAAAAAAAAAGTGAGGGAGATACTCTTCTGCCTGTCCAACAGAAGCCTCTACTGAGAATGTAAAAGGTTCTAAAGCTCATCCATGAATGAGTCCACTTACTATAAGTGTCTTAAATTTACAACGTGCAAAAAACTAATGCACCCAAGAATATATCATGGCACCTTGCCCAATGGTAACCACTTGGCAGACTCAAATAATAAGTACCCTCATAGGGAGAAATCTTGCCAAGGGAGAATTTACAACATATTTTTAGAAAGAAATGAGTATTCAATCATTCAATAAAGCAAATCAGAAAAAGTAAGGTTGTCAAAAGAACTCCAGATTATATGCCAGCAGGTTAATAAAATGGTTCTTTTTTTAAAAATGACAAAGAAAAATAAGAGATCCTTTTTTTTTTTTTTTTTTTTTTTTGAGACGGAGTCTCACTCTGTTGCCCAGGCTGGAGTGCAGTGGCGCAATCTCAGCTCACTGCAAGCTCTGCCTCCTGGATTCACACCATTCTCCTGCCTCAGCCTCCCGAGTAGCTGAGACTACAGGTGCCCACCACCACACCTGGCTAATTTTTTGTATTTTTAGTAAAGAAGGGGTTTCACCATGTTAGCCAGGATGGTCTCAACATAGATCCAATTTTTTAATGTCTTGATTCAGCCAGACATGTCAAATGAAATAATTGAATTATGTCAAAATAAAAATAGTTGGTACTATATCGACAGACTATTTATAACTATCTTTAGCATAAATAGAAATTAAAGCTAAATACATATTTTTCTAAAAAAAAAAAAATTATACCTAGGCTCAAAACAACACGAGCAGGGAGAGTTATGCTATCTACAATTCTGAAAATTCCCACGTGCAGGATACGGTATTGCATAGATAAGTAACAACTCCTAAGTAACAGAAATATATCTGGATTCTATATAAGCAAAATGCTCCTCAGATTATAATATATAATCCAAAATATTAAACCAAAGATACTATTTTTAGAATGTTTTGAAAAACAAAGTACAATAGAACACAATAAAAGGAAGCATTTCATTGACCAGGCATATTTTAATGGGCTTGAATTTCTTTTTTAAAACTCTAACTAAAGGTAGTAAGATGGGGAAACCAAATATAAAAGTGTTATTCTGTCCTAGAATTGTTTGACTACTAGGTTTTCCCAACATTCAGTCTCTGGAAGCATTGGCCAATCAGAAAGGGAGGTGAGATATGCTGGTGTCTTACTAAGGTTCCTAGTGAGTGGAAAAGAAGGGGGACTTTAGTTCATACCAGTAAATGACATTAACAGTATTCTAAATGGAAGAGCTTCAGCATAAGCCATCTTAATGGTGAAATGAGTTAATATTATTACTCATATCATATGAAGAAAATAATTTATACTATTAATTATTACTACTACATATTCTCCGTTTCTCCTTATGCCTGTGGTATTTTAATCACTTTTAGTCCAACCCCACTGCTTGTAGCACAGCAAGTTCTCTAAGGGAAGTATGAAGGAAGAAGTGGCCAGGACACCTGCACAGCCCCATGCCCCAGGAGGCAGTGCTTGCTAACCCTTTCTCTTCCTTCTCATTGTTGTCCTCTTCACTTTTAATAAACTTACAATAAAAAGAGATGAGTTACAAGGTGACTTTTTTGTTTTTTGTTTTTTGAGACGGAGTTTCGCTCTGTCCCCCAAGCGGGAGTGCAGTGGCGCAATCTCGGCTCACTGCAACCTCTGTCTCTCAGGTTCAAGTGACTCTCCTGCCTCAGCCTCCTGAGTAGGTGGGACTACAGGTGTATGCCACTATGCCTGGCTAAATTTTATATTTTTAGTATGGACAGGGTTTCACCAAATTGGCCAGGCTGGTCTCAAACTCCTGACCTTGTGATCCACCTGCCTCAGCCTCCCAGAGTGCTAGGATTACAGGTGTGAGCCACCGTGCCTGGCCTAGGAGGTGACTTTTAACTTGAAAACTTGGAGTTCTTCACAGAAAAAGTATTCAAATGCTAGTTTTTAAACAAGGAAATATGGTCTGAAAAAGATACGACCTGTCTTCCAATGGCCTTTCCAGTCTAGTGTTTCCTAATATATTACACTAAAAGTTAACTATAAATTATGTACTTTAAAATATAAAGTATTGATTGTCAGCATAAGGTTCCCAGGCCAGGGAAGAGGAAGGGAAAATCCTTTGCCAAGACCCTCCTCCAATTTCTTTATAAGATGATTTCACCTTTAAAGAATTCCCAGAGTATAAAGGGCAAAAACACGTTTACAAGGAGGCCCCAGCATAACAAGTGCCTGTTTTAGAACAGATTGTGTCAGAAGTGTAAGAGATCTAGAAACTTTTTCCCACTGAAAAAAAAAAAAGGCAAGAAAAGTAGGTATTCGATACTTAACTGCCCTCTTCATAGACCACTGTCTGAGAATCTATTTTCTACGTATTGGTTTGCCAGCTTTAAAATACTGATTGTCAGTTATTCCTACCCTGGTATCCAAAATATCCATAAGCAATATATGAGCATCCATTCCACTACAATTTCTGAAAATTCACTAAAGCAAGAGCATTTTTAAAAATCAACTTTAAAAGATACATTTGCATACCTTCTTTTTGATGGATTTTTTTTTAAATAGCTAAAAACAAAGCAAATTCTTTGGAGCCCATGGCAATTACTTTTTCCCATGTCCACTTGAGAGAAATGCCATAGAGCTAAAGAGAAAAACTAAACCATTTCTTAGATTGAGTAAAAGATCATTAATTGTTGACACATATCTAAATTATTTCAGTATATTTAGAAGGCAAAGAAGAAAGGGAGAAGGAAAGAAAAGAAAGAGAGAATGAGGAAAAGAAAAAAGGGGGATTCATCTTTAAAATGTTCATCCATAAATTATATTACCTTTCAGAATACAGGGCAACTAAAGATTGAGGTGCTCAGGATTCGGGGATCTTAAAAGTTCACAGCCAGCATCAGATGTCACTAGACAACTGGCAGTCTGATACTCACACCCCTGAGCCTAGAACAGTTGACACAGGATCCCGGGCCAATGCCAGGGATCTTTAGGTCAGCAATCATGTCAAGATGCTCTGATTCTCCACAAACCCAGCTTCTTTCCCAACTGCGGGGAGGTTGGTCTGCAGTGACTTATCTAGTATTTTGCTGTACTCCTGGCTCACAGTGTCTCCTGGTCTAGGATCTTCTAATCGAAGTCCCATGAGGCACATATTTCTGTGCTCTCTGACTCTCACCCCTGAGATAGAGCTGGTGTGGGGCTGAGGATGTGGGAAGGACACAGCACACCCAGCAACCCCCAGGACAGTTTTCAGTATGCTCCTCAACCTCTGAGACGGTGTGCAAAGCACAGGGAAATGTACTGCCCCTCACATTTCTCTACAGAAGAGAGAGGGAGGGAAATGGCTGGGGTGTGTGATCAGGTTTCGAGCAGAAAAAGACCGTGCCACTTAAAAAAAAAAATTCACCACGTAGATTCTACAAAGAAAGAATTTCCAGTTAAGAAATATCTACTGAGACCACTGGGCATGGGGTGGGTTGGGGTGGGGTCGGCAGTAGGGTTAGGTTGGAGGTGGGAAGGGAACAGATGAAGCTCCTCCTGCTAGCTGTTTTCTCCCATTCCTGGGGACATCCATCTTTAAGCAAACATGGATGTGTAATAATGCTTAAGAATCTACGTTCATTTCTTTCACAAAATGAGGAGAATACCTATTCTAAAATAATATCTTTATTCTGGAGAAAACAAATACCTCTAAAAAAATTCTAGAAGATTTTGAAAGGAGAAAATATAGACACACAACTGCATTCATTTTGATCTTCCACACAAAGATCAGGTGAAGAAATCTATGCAGCTATACATACTAGGACCTGTTGTACACCACCCTCGTAACCCCATAGAAAGAAAAAAGAAAAAAAAACTGTTTTCAAAATAGAAGCAGTATTCCACTATGAAAACAAAACAATCACATGTGACTACTGGAAATGTTAGTGTTACACAGAGTCCTTTAAAAATAAATCACAGCCAAAGTTCCAAAAAGTACAGAAGCGTGAAACAGAAAATAAAAATGACTGAAGGGTGATGATGGGAGCCTACAGCTCCATCCTCACAAGGACGGCAGCCCTGGACGTCGCTGCAAAGGTCACAGGAGGACAGCTTCGCTTCAGAGTTGTAACTTCTCACCGCCTGTCTCCCTGTTCAAAGAAGCAGACATCAGTTCACACGGCTCCCTTGTTTAGAAACCTTGACTTTGCCAAAACATAAGAGCATTTCGATACACTTTTCTGAGTTTTCCATTCTTCACCTAATTTTATTTTTCTTTACAAGAAACAACTGAAATGTCCAAGAATGATCCAAAGTACTAACCAAATCCAAAAGAGAAACAATGCATTCAGTCCAATCTGTCTACCACCAGCAGTTGGCCAGCATTAAAAGACAGCAAATAGACTGCAGCTGCACACTGCAATCACAAGCACCACTTTCATCTCTTACTGCATCAGGGAGAATTTTCAGTTGAGGACTGTTTAACCTCCTCAAGAGTTTATTTTAGGATGACATTCTCTGTGCACTCAAATCAAATTCTAATCATTAGAACTACTGAAAAGAGGCATTTACCCTGGGCTCTAGTAGAAAAATACATAAATATGAAGGGAAGACTGCCTATGCAATACCTTGTTTTAAAACACTGAGCATATAGTATCTAAAAGCTAACATGAAAAAACTACATAAAGTACCTATAACACCACAGTAAACTCACTGTAAAACATAAATGAGTTTTATAATGTTTTAAAAACATATTCTATTGTCAAATTTATTCATGATTTTTCAGACTGTTGTCCATATCGTAAATGTGTTTTGGGATTTTTTTAAATGGGTTGGAAGGTTTAGCTTATTCTGATCTTTCCCATATTTTCATTTTAAAATGGCCTCCTCATAAGTAAGTTGTTTTCCATAAAAATTTGCATAGACTGAATTATTTTTGTTTCTCAAATGTTTAAAATGTTCCCCATGTACCCAAGAAATATAAGTTGGGGAATTTTGCAACTAAGTTAAGTAATAAAGTTGGATAACTAGTTACTGTCATTGGGTCTCCACAGTGTATTCCATCCGTCCACTAGGAAAAAAGTGCCACATCACTGTTCGCCAAATGTCCCACAAGAACCTGGGTGAATCCTCTTCCTCAGTGCCAACAGGAGGCAAAAGACAAGAGGAACTGGCTTGTTGACTAAGAGGAGAGAACTGGTGCTACATCTTAGTCTTGAATACTCTATGAAGCACTAACAACAATGGGAACGAGTTCATCTCATTTAAAGTGTAATTATCTACAACGACCTAACACATAAAAATGCTCATGCTTCTCATGCATTGTGATGATTCTGAGCCAACACAAGTGCTTATTCAAAATAAGACATATTACAATTAGAAACATTAGGCCAGAGATCACATACAAAAAGTCACTCTGACTGAACATGGATTCGTCCTATTAAACTTGGGCCATCTCCAGACCAGCTCTCTCTTTTTACATCCTAAATTTCCATCATTTTATAAAAATGAGTTACCAGAAAAATCAAAGAAGCTCAAGTTATTTTCCAAACAGGCTATACTTTTCTTGATGCACTTTTAAAAATATGTTATCAAGTGTAGGTTTCAGCAAAACACCAGAGTCCCTTGATAGAGAAACAGTTAACTCCAGCCAATGCTACTGCATTGCAGATGCTGTTCATGTTCTCTCCTGAAGAAGTCCCATTTTATTTATGATTTGTTATTTATTTATTTACTATTCAAGGGTACATGTACAAGTTTGTTACAAGGGTATATTATATGATGCTGAGGTTTGGGCTTCTATTGACCCTGTCACCCAAATAATGAACATAGTACCCAACAGAGAGTGTTTCAGCCCTTGTTCCCCTCTCTCCCTCCCCACTTTTGAAGTCCCCAGTGTCTACTGTTCCCATTTCTATGTGCATGTGTACCCAATGTTCAGCTCCCACTTATAAGTGAGAACATGTGATATTTGGTTTTCTGTTTCTGCATTAATTCACTTAGAATAATGACCTTCCACTGCATCCATGTTGCTGCAAAAGATATAATTTACTTCTTTTTTACAGCTGTATAGTATTCCATAATGTACATGTACCACATTTTCTTTATCCAATCCACAGTTTATGGGCAGCTAGGTCAATGCCCTGTCTTTGCTATTGTGAATTGGTGCTGCAATAAACATATGAGTGCAGGTGTCTTTTTGGTAGAACAACGTATTGTCCTTTGGGTATATACCCAGTAATGAGATTGTGGGATCAAATGGTAGCTCTACTTTTAGAAGAACTCCCATTTTAAAGCTGGAACCAGATGGAATAGGTGCTTGGAATAGAAGCAATACCTTGCAAATGAAACATAACTGGACTCTCTATGTCAATTTTTCTTTGTAAAGTTTATAATTGTGAGAGTTAAAAACTTAAAACATGAAAAAATATATCGTGTTTAAATTTCATATGCTAAAACCTATCATGTGACCCTTGTAAATTATCAATAGTCTTCACTGAAATGGGATGCTCACTTCCTGCCTCCCCACTGCCTATACTTCCTCCTACCAAATCCTGCCCTCGCCACAGAACCAATCCAACAGGTGGTCACTTCCAATAAGTGAATGAATGCCTGGCTTAATTTCTAAAGTATTAAGAACTCCAGGGCATACTTACTTGGCTCATAGTAATCCACTATGGACACTGAAGCATCTTGGGTATTTGAAACTTTAAAGTTTCTCACAGCAGGAATATCAACACAAAACTGGGTTTCATTTACCTTGAGAAATGCAAAACAGTCTTAAGGGGTTGGCACACTGTGTGTTCATCATTAAGTAAAGACATTTCTTTTTCTTACCATTTTAGGAAACAGAGACTAACACTTAGGGAGGATTTCTACATGTCAGATACTGCAGTAAGTACTTCCTATGAACTATGTTATTTAACTTGTAAAACAATGCTTACAAAAAGGTATTGTTCTTAGTTCCATTTTGCTGAATGGGATACTGAGAATTAGAGTGGTTAAGTAAGTAGCAAGCCTGAGGGTGCATGCACCTAGATCTCCTGTCTCAGATGGTGTACCCCACCCCCAGTTACTACTAATGGCTCACAGCAGCCTCCTTCTCCTGGGAATTGCCCTCAGTTCATGCAAGCCATGTCACCCAGTACGTGAGGTAACTAAGATGGGGCTGTACTCCACAGCCAATGACTGAGATGGGGTACACAAGGCCAGCCTATCTGTCTCCAAGAGGAATAGATTTGGCCAATTTGGCAAACAACACTCGTTAAAGAATCAGAAATTAGTAAATTCCTTCAAACATTCCCTTATTTGCCAATAGTAGTAAATGAAAAGTCAAACTGACCACTCAAAGAGTACTGGACACTCAAATTAAAATAACCATTAACAAGAGCATCAGAGATAGAAGACAAACTCCAAAACCAATTACACTACTAAATTAAAACCTTAACTTTGTTTTTTAAGTTCCAAATCAGGCCCATGGCTTTCGAGCAGTGATTAATGTAAGATAATTCCTAAAGAGCAAAAGAATCTAGAGACTATTATTTAACATTATATTGAGACTGAATTAGTTTTAATGGGGCTTGAACCAAAGAGGTTTTGAAGTGCTAAAACAAATGAGAACATTCAAGAACTGTCTTTTTAAAAGTACATATTTAGCAATATATTTATGATTCATACGTAACAAAACTGAAATAAGAAACATCAAACCCACCCATGTAATATGAAATCCTTGGAATACTATGAACTCAATATCAATTCAACCTATGAAGCTCATATAAATGCTATAAGAAAAGAATAAACTTACATACCACCAGTTTTGAGACATACCAAGTAGAGTCTGGAATTCTTCACTTACCTTCACCTACACATTGTATTCACCTTATTCTCGAATCAGTAGTAGTCATTCAGCAATGGAAAGAGTACATGAAGGTTATGTAATAATTCTATGTCAAGATCAAATCTCTGAGAATAATCCTCCATGATTTAGCACCTAATTTTTCAAGGTAAGAACATTAACCCCTTCAAGGTTTGTTAGAAGCTTCATGGAAGAATTTTAAAATGTGTAATGAAGGCATTCGTCTTCCAGCCAGGCATCGCAGCTCACATCTGTAATCCCAACAATTTGAGAGGCCAAGACCAGAAGATCAGTTGAAGCCAGGAGTTCAAAACCAGCCTGGGCAACAAAGTGAGACCCCGTCTCTATAAAAAAAATTCTCATGAAATTATCTAGGCAAGGTGGCATGCACCTGTGGTCCCAGCTACTCAGGAGCCTAAAGTGGGAGGATCACTTGAGCTCAGGAGTTGGAGGTTGCAGTGAGCTATGATTGCACAACTGCACTCCAGCCTAGGCAATTCCCTGAGGCAAAGAGGCTCTCAAATTCAGATCTAGACTGAACTGTTTTAATAATAATATGGAAATTTCTATGTATTTCACATCTGGCATGAAATAAAGATTTAGTTACGAAGACCTGCATCAGGCTCGTCATTAACAGCAACTCTCTAAACTGATTTTATAGTTATGTCTTTCTAATGGAGATAAGTATATGGTTGCCATGTTAAACTCATTCAGGGACACAAAAACTTGAAATAACAATGACTTAAAGAAAACATACTTAAAGTAAGGTAGACATCCGAACACAAAACATAGTAGCTTTGTCAACAGGTTACCTTATGTTTTCCTACTTACAGAATCTAAATAGAGGTTGAGTTTTCCATGATCATATTCCACTTTCTTCACTGTCTCGCTCAGGGGAATTGTGTCTGAAGGCACCATAAAGCCACTTAGTAGGTTAACTTCCATAAGAGCCATGCCACTCCTAGCTGGGCCCAAAAACCTAAATCAAAGAGGGGAAGATGAATGAAAACTCAGGAAAAACCCACAGCTGTTATCAAATTATCTTCATACAAAAATCAAACCCACCAAATGTTATTCCAAATACTGTTTGAGTTCAAATAAAATTCACTATAGAGAATTTTAAAACAGGTTATCGTTTTCTTACATGTGTGGTAATCTTATAACTTTCAACCATATAAGGAATAATGATACAACAATGTGTTCATCTGACAGATAGTGTGCAATGCCTGCAGTGTAACAGGCTTGTGCTTACAAACTGTGACAGTACAACATACATCCTTTCAACAGACAACTCTATTTTCTAGCAGTGATTCCAAACCGAATTGCACTTTTTCTTTTGTCAAAAGTTGACAGCACCAAACTTCCAAGAAAGCCAGGCCCTGAGAAGGAGGCATCACTTGATCACTTAGTGATAGTCCCATCCAAGTTCTTAGCAACCTTTTATTCATCTGGTTTTAGAAACATCAGACCAGTAGGGAAAGGCCTTCCCTTTGTTCTCCCACATACTTGAAGAACATTTTGTGTTTTCTTTGGCCACCATGAGGGAATTACAAGCCTTGGAAAGTTTTATTACACTGCATCCTTCTCGCACCCTGTTGTACATGATGTGAGCATCAGAGGATCCGGGCACCAACAACATTTTATCTCCTTACAAATAAATACTTTTCTAAAATGAATTGATGGCAAGAGTTTTTCATTTGGAGCAGAAGGAGCCCAGCTAAGTGAGTATGGAAAGATGTTTGCCTCCAATTTAAAAGGATCATAGCATTAAGTTAGTACCTGTTGTCCTTTTAAATGGCAAAAGCAAGAAGGGCTGTTAGAAGAATCTTGCTTTTTAGAGCAGAAAACCCACGCCTGCCAAACATGACTGATTGAAAAGCCATAGAGTACAACTGCTGACTTCAGCCGGTTCTGCAATCCCAAGCAACTGAAACCATCTGCTGGCAATGCACTGAGCCAAAGTAGATGTTATTAAGAACTAATAAATGGATTGAAACTAGAGGTGTTTGCATATGAGAAAAAATATAGATGAGAAAAAAACAGTCAATATGCTTAAACATTTAAAAGCACAATGCAGATTATACTTTTGGTACATATTAAAAGTACCTTGGTTGATCTGATCTCTCTACCAGCCTGGGGCAGAATTTGTTAAACTATCATGCCACACAGAAAGCCTGGTATGAGGTAAGGTCTTGGACCCTGTTGATAGGATAAAGTGTCTGAAATATCAGGTAATCTTTTTTTTTTTTTTTTATACTTTAAGTTCTAGGGTACATGTGCACAACGTGCAGGTTTGTTACATATGTATACTTGTGCCATGTTGGTGTGCTGCACCCATCAACTCGTCAGCACCCATCAACTCGTCATTTCCTCTTTTTTATAATGTGCTGGTGAAAAAATACACTTAAATATTATTTGTCTTTCATACCAGATTTTTCTCAGAAAACTAGTAGCAGCATTTAAACCCTTTTTATGAAACCCCTACCCTCACATGAAAACAGTTCCCAACTCTGTTGTCCATCTGATTCCTGATGCTTAAGATTGGAAATCCTGCATTCTTACATGAACCCCTATAAATGCTGAGGTCTCTTCATAGTCTGAATCCTGGCTCCACCTCATTTTCCTCATGTTTCTTCACCTGATGTCTCTTAAGAGGTATAAGTCTCCCTCTCATAACTCTATGAGGGTCTTCTTCTTTGCCCTTTTCAAAATTGGAACTTGAGACTTGCTTAGGGGATTGTTTCCATTAATTTCTGTATCCATCTCAAACAGCAAGTTCCACAAGGGCAGAGCTTGTGTCTTTTTTGGCTTACAATTGCATTCCCACACCTGACACACAGACACCATGCCTGGCACATAGTAGAGGCTCAACCAATACTTGCTGAGGGAATAAATAAATGAATGAGAAAAGCAGGAATAGGCAGGGCACAGTGGCTCATGCCTGTAAGCCCAGCACTTTGGGAGGCCAACGCAGGAAGATCACTTGAGGTCAGGAATTTGAGAAAAGCAGGGATAATAATAACACATACTTTACAGAGTTACTGTAAGAATTAAATGATATGCATGTAAAAGTGTTTGGTGCGGTGCCTGGCATATAAGTTTGTAATTACTGTAGGTTGTTATTGTTTATAATAATAATAATAATAACTTGAAGTTGTTATTCTATAACAGAGACCAATTGGAAGACTAGTAAAAAATAATTGGAGTCCCACTTTCTTCTCAGCTGAAAAGGATGCCACTGCAGAGATTCTGATATCCTCTTACTGCTGGCCCAAAATGCCCAAGAAGGTGAAGAATGGGACAAATGTGGGACATTTTACCCCAAAATCATGAACAAGAAGGTCCAAAGATAAAGACAGACAGTAGCGGTAATGGTGGAGACTGGGTCCAGGCAATGGCTGTGAAGGCTGGCCACCTGGATGAGCACCCAGAGATGACCTTGAAGAACATCTGCCAGCTCAGGACCACACCAGGGACTTCTAGTTCAACAATAAGCTCAGTTAAACCAGGACACTATAGGATATTTTAGAAGAGCAAACAGCAGCTCCTCAATGCCAGTGCATCTTTAAGTTCCAGCTCAAGACCAAATAAGGCAGATGTAACAGAATAGATTCACGAAAGAAAAAAATGTGAAGCCTCTATTCAAAAACTTTCACAAGGAGTGTGCTCAAATTCCTGTGTGCAGTGGAATGTCCAAAACTCTGCAGCTTCCCAGTCTTACTGTGAAGTCGGTAGGGTTGACGTAGAACCCTTTTTCTTTATTACTTAACAAGATTCTCAGATGCTTTGGATATAGAACAATTTAAGAGTCAACTTAAAAAGTACTCCCAGAAGCTTCAGCTGTTAAGTGTCTAATTATCCAATATGAGAAACTCCTAAACTGGAATATTTTCAATGTATATAAAAAAAAAACTGTCCTCTTGATTGAATTTGCATGTTATCATAAAGTTTTGGGTTAAATGCCTAACAGTTAAAGTTCAGTATGAACCTGAAATAATTATTTCAACAGAAAAATAACTCATAACAAGAAATAATCATTCTAAGTATTAAATATGATTTCCTAAATTAGACCTGAGTTTTATTAATTTATATACACACTGTTCTATTCAAATTTGTTATACATTCAGGGAAAACCTGTAAATAATTTTTGTATGCATCTAATAAACGCTTGAATATAATTAGTAGTATTTCTAGTTTGTAATCTGAAGTGTAGTACATAATTGAATTCTTTGTTCAATATAACTTCTTATATTTATATAGTTAGACAACTATAAATAATTAAACCTTCAAGTCTATTTTCTAAAGGAAAAAAAGAAAAGAGACCTAAGCAGACACTTACCTTGTACACACATTCAAATCCACATGATTGAGATCATCTTTATTTTCTTTTACAGCAACATCTAAATCAAAGGCTTCTTGATTTTGGATAGATCTTCGTCTTCTAGAAGACCCAGAATCCTTCACATTATATACAACATTGAGCTGTAAAAAATAAACTAGCATAAATAACAAATTGGACATAAACTTCTATCATTATGCCTTCTAAATACTGTATTAGGTAATGATTCTCTTTGGATGGACCCAGTAAGATTTTTAATCTTCAAACTAGAAAAAAAAATTAATTTTACTTGCTAACAAAGTATCACTATTAACAAGTAGTATTACAATTTATAAAATTATTTTTAACATTGTTAGGTAATATTCCAAAACAAGTACAATAAAACACCATGGGCGATATTTGGGGATAATGTTTTGTCAAAGAGGGTAAACATTCCCTTGAGGAAAAAACCATCTTGAGAGCATTCACTAATTTCTAAGGAAATTAGTTGCCCAAATGGAGTCATTTCTCTCTAACTAGAACTTCACAAACTCTCAGTAGGATAAATCAAAACTAAAACATTGAAGAGCCTTAGCTGAACATTGCTGAGGATTCTTTTTGTTCATACAACGTTTGTCAAAGATGATAAAATAAATGACAACTTTCAGTCAACTGGGTCTTTCTCGGCATCTACTCTGTACCCACCACTGATGTTAAAGGTGCTGTAGACATAATGGGAGAGCCTGAGGACCTGCGTCTTTCTCAAAGGGATCCTAAATCAGAAGCTTAGGCACGTACTCAAAACTTCCTAGTCCAGTCTCATCCCCGGATGGACTGGAATCTACTTAAATGTTTTACCTCATCCCCTTTTTTATAACAAGGTTCGTAAAGCTTACTGTTGCTTTGTAAGGTTGTGTTTTCTTTTAACTTATACCTAACACACATACATATATGCACATGTGCATACACACACACACACCTCAGAACTAACATCTAATGTCCCTCATGGATTTGCACACTTAAAAAAATCCTCTAAGTCTTCATTTTTCAAATCTAAAAGTTGCAGTCTTCTTATTCTGCCACAATCCAAACTCATATAATCCGTCATCCACTTGATCCTTCTGGTTATCTTACTTCGGACATTTGTCAACTCTTCCTTAAAGTATAACGATTAAATTATAGAGTATTCCTGAAGCAGTTGAAAAATAGTCTCATAAAATTGGAGAGATGCTCTCTATTATTTCCATCATTCCCCTTTCAGTGGCATGCAATTATCCCTTTAGAGACCAATGCCATCAGGAAACAAACAAGGACTACTCTATTTGTCTCTCGGGTCATAATTAATGCCCATCCATAACTAAGTATTAGGGTTTACATTTGGCAATAAAGCTCAACTGCTCACTCAGGGAACTTTAAAAGATCTTGCAGTTTATTTCCAACAGTTTAATATTTTATTACCCAAAAAAGGGTAATATTTACTACAAACTCATGAGTTTTCTTTGCCTTCCTTTTTCCAGAGCACATATAAAAATATCAACTGTAAGAAATCTCAATACCCATTTCTGGGTGTCCAACTTCTTTGTAATTATTTTTCCTCCCTCATGAGAAGTGCCTACTGGTTCCTTCCTTTTGTTTTCTGCATTTTGAGATTGACATGGGATTGATGAACATTCTGACCAGCAAGTACCACATTCACCCCTGTGTGCTTCAAGCCTCAAGTAAAACATCACTTGGTTTCAGTAATTTCTCTACATTTGGTTTATCAAAAATGAATTCCAACCAACTTGGTGATTTAAGTACATATAGTTTTTCAATTTTATCTAGAATACACAGCATATTTACTTTTAGATTTACTCTTGGATTGCAAGACAGTTTGAGAATGAGAATTTTCCCATGGTCTTTGTTAGTAAAGATCGAAATAAATTGTTTACTTTCTCTTTCTGACCTTTTCACTAAATACCATTCCTTTTCACTGTGATCATTTTTCCTTTAGTTTTAAAAAATGTGTACTGTATTCTGAGTGTAATGCAAAATAATCTTAGAATTATTTGGAAGTTTCTAAATTATACCTGCTTAGCAAGGTATACCTGCCCTACTCAGCAAGTATATCTGCTCTCTCAACTAGAATGATAGTGCTGGTTTTTGAAAAAAGTACTTTTTCTCCATAATAGCCATTTTTTTCCTTTCTCAGTAAGTGTTTCAGTGTTTTTGTTTGGTTGTTTGGTTGGTTGTTTCTACCTAAGCACGCAACCATTTTTGGTCCTATCACATATTATCTTGAGGTTCTAATGAGATGATTTTAAAGTCCTCAATATTTTTATGTACTATTTAGTGTAATGATTATCTTATTCAGTATTTTTCATACTACTTCCATTTTTATTGTAGCTCCTGCTGTACCATAAAAATGTAGATTTCTTTAGATTTTCTTTCTGTACCAGAGGATTGAACATAATTATGCTCTAATTGTTATATGTACTATTATATGAGATTTTATTAATTTTAAAGGGACACAATTCCTCCCCTCAAGTCAATAATTCTACCATGTTGACTTTCATATTCTCAGATGAATATTAAGAAATTGTAAGTAAAACATGTATTTGTTATCAGGAATCACATTGGAGGACATTAACCCTCACTTCAAAAAGCAAATAATCTCCAAGAAATATTTTTCAAATAGAAAATCAATCTATATAATTGCTCTCTATTCACTGGCTGGCAACATCTCTAATACTTTTTATTAAAGACAGTGATATATCTTGCTGAAGTCATAGATGTAAATTATTAAGAATTATATTCAAGTTATCTAAGATTTAGCAAAGCCCCAAACCAAATAATTATTATAAAAAGTCATATTTAACTTAAAAAAATAAGCATCATTACATACCTGACAAATAGCAAATCCAAAACCAGTTGCGGAAATAGTAACTGCAGTTGGCTGTACCACAGCAAGCTGAATCAAGGTGAAAAAAAGTGAATGAGGCTAATTTTCCATATGTAGATCCTTCCAAGTAGCACAACAGATCAGTCCTATCCCTCATTAGGAGCAGAAGCAATCACTGACAGTACTAAGAGCTTTATACTGTCTCACATATCAAAAGCTATGGGTCAAATAGGTAAGCAAGGTGATAGAAGGAAAAGTGCACTCTCCCCAAGCTCCCTCACCTCTGCTCATGGGAGGGCACATTAGTGCTACTGACAAGTCTGTCCTCCTATTGGGGTTGAAGCATAAAAGACAAGAAACTAAAGTCATCTCCCTCCCCTGACCTCCCTTAATCAAGACTTAATCCCCTGGCTTTCCCAGGAGCACAATAACACATTGTCTATGACTGTGCCTAACTTTATTCCTTCTTTTCCTTTATCATCACCACTCTTCCTCACTTTCCAGAATTGAAGTTATCACCTTCATCCATTGTACTCAACCTCCCACAAATTTATCAAGGGAATAAAGTTAAGAACTAGCATATTCTTTTATTCCAGTTAAAGTAAGAATTCTACTACTGGTTCTATCAATTCTCCTAAGAAGACATGTGGAGCAGCTGAAAAGAACATGGTCTTTGGAATGATGAGTTCAAATCCTAGCTCTACTGTTACTAGTAACATGATCTTGAGCAAGTCACTTAACCTCTCTCAGCCTCAGTTTTATCATATGTACGACAGGGATAAATGTACTTACTTCTTAGAGTTACTTTGAGAAGTAAATGCAATAGAATATGTAAAGTAATCTAGCACAGTGCCTATGAAGAACAGAAACGCAACAGGGTTCTATGTTCATTCCTTTCTCAATGTTACAGTGCCCATGTTTTCTCCTGTTCCACCAATCTTTCCAAAGTTCCCTGCCCTTCCAGAGCTTAGCAAATTCAACCAAAGGAGGGCACCATTTCTCCCTATTCCTCTACAGAGCTCTGGAAACAAGTCTTTGTTGAAATCAACAGATTACAAATAAAGCAGTATTCCAGCATAAAGAATTGTCTACTCTGATTTTTAAATAACTGCCCCTTGTGCATACCTCTGCTGTCTGAAGGAGCAAGCGGTTGTGTGTGTCAATCAGAAACTTTATAGGACTTGGTGCGCTAGGCCCCGTCACAGTCACTTGGATATTTGTCCTTTCTGTAATCATTAGGGCTGCAAATTCAGACAGAGCTTTTAAAGCCACAATGGTATCCTGTTGAGGGAAAAAAAACATTTGTACATATAAGTATATGTCAAGGTCTTCAAAGAGTAAATTTAGTAGTGTTTTGTTGCTGGACATTCAACCACCTTCCTTCACAGCGGAATGCTCCCTGACTCATATTTGAATCTCCTTGGCCTAGAGTACAGGAGAGGCTCAGAAAATGTTTGCTGAAATGTTTCATAGTTTTTAGTGTACAGATCTTACTGATTTTTGTCAGATTAATCCCTAAATAGTTAACATTTTATGCTATTTTGATTTGAGTTTCCATTGCTCATATATACATACAATGGATTTCTGAACATTGATTTTTTAATGCCACAATGTTACTAAACTCACTTGTTAATCCTAGTAGCATTTTTGTAATCCCACTCAATTTTGCACATAAATGAACATATTATCAATAAATTAAAAGTTCCAGTTTTTCCTTTCCAAAAAGAAGAAAAGAAAATAGAAAATATTTGCTATATGGAACTGAACATCTACTCTTGTATCAGTTACCACAGATGAAAAATGGGAAATGTAGATGGGGAACTGGTTTATTCCATATAAATATCAGATATAAAGTTCATAATAATGAGGAGAAAAAAATTAAAATCAGTGAATTTAGCCTTTTGCTTAAGTTACTAAACTTTGAAACTGCAAAGTAATTTTAAGAAATCAAGGAAAAAATGCAACCAAATACTTTCTTAAATATATATTTTAATACATGATATATAAT